TCCAAACATCTCTGGAAGTGGTCAGCCGAATCTTCGTGAATGTTTTTTTAAGAGTTCAACCAAGACTCTCAAATATTTTTTCAAATTTTTTGCAGCTGAGTTTTGTAGTAATTTGTCTTTCTTTTGCTATCTAAACATTTTAGTGAAAAAAAGTCTCTCATCTTGCTCTCTGTATGAACATTTTTGTAAAGAAGTTAACCAAATTTTATTGAAATGTCTCTCTCTTTTTGTTATCTAGACATTTTGGTAAGGAGTCATTAATCTTTATCTTTTTGTGTTTCCATTAGCATGACACACAGTACTTCACATATGAAGATGAGCATAGGTCATACTTTCCCATAAAGGGAAAGGGGTCCATGCTTGGAATTTCCTGAGCTGTCATGTCCTGCTCCTCCCTGTTCCTGATCTATCCTGTACCCCAGTCAGAGATGGAGATATCTGAGCGCATCCCAGCTAAAAATAGTTCAGGAGCTGTTCAGTCCCTCTCAGCCTCACAAGAGTCTTGTTTGTGATGCCAATTCATTGTTGTAAGCCATTGGTAGGAGTGTGATGTTTGTTGTAAATTCTTACTGGTCTAAACGAAGCCACCAGACCACATGCCGGGGAGCTCTTGTGCTTTATTGTGCAGCTGTTATAACTCTGGAACCCTCACTGTTAGACTCCAAAGGTGTTGACTACAAACCCCTTCATTTTGTACAGTAGGGGGAAAAATTTAACAGCTGTGCCTTGCCCAGGCAAAGCAAGCAATGAGAGAAATTAAGGTGGAAAAGAGATGGAGAATGAAGAAGTTCACCATCTGTAGATTCCTGCAGTCAGTTCTGCTGCATGGATGGTCCAGAGCTGGGATAGCAAAATAAAGAAAGGGAAAGATGCAGAAAAAGTCATGAAGGGGGCCCAATGCACTTTCTTTTATATTTAACCTGGTGCAGCCTCTTATGTAAACTAGACTTTTCATGCTGTTTTGTTTGCACATCCACAGGCAACCTTTTGAGCCTTTCTCTGAGAAATCAGTTGGGAGGGACTGAGGAGGGGCAGGAAGCTGGCTCCGAACACTGCTACTCCATCTCCATGGGACCCTTTGTTTTGTTCACACTTTTCCTGTCATAACAGTCAGAATATTTGAGACAAAACGTGCTTATGCTTAGTCCTCCATGGAACTGCTTCTGGAAATACATCCATTTTTCTTTCTTTGGGTGAAAGATAGGAAGTTACAAAGTTGTCATCACTGCCTTTTAAACTGTATTCTTTAATTGACTGATTCACTAGTCCACTCATAAGATTTGAATTGCTAAAATTCAAATCTATTATAAATGAGGGTTATGCGTGGAAAGCAAGTTGCACTCAGTTTCAGGCTTCTAATATTTTTTCTCTCTGACTTTTGTTTTTAAGGAATAACTGTGGTCTATCTGGAAAGAGTCACACCTTTTCAGTATCGCTCTAGGATATGTAGTAAATCCAAATCTAGTGCAAGTCTGTTTAATAGACTGGACTTTTCCTGTAACAAGAGCCTACTCTTTGAGAATTTTTTTTTTCCTGAAAATGGCTTTTGTTTGCCATTGCTTACAAATGTGTAAAGCAGACACAGAACGTAAACTGAGATGAGTTCTCACTGAATTACTAAAACATGAAAAGTAGGTAATAGCTGTATGTTTATATTGTGCTTTTGCTTATTAGACGTCTTGAACATTTCTGACCTTACAGTTCAAGTAAACTGCTTTTTCAAAGCCCCTTTAACAGGAAGTAACTTGAAAATTGAATAGTATTTTATTCCCTGTATTTGGGAAGAAAATAATTGTAGAAAGAATTCATAACGAACTTGAAACAGATTTCACGTTTCAGGTGTCTTTATTGTTGTGTTTGAATGTATAAACTTTCCACAGAAGAAAAAATTGGGGTAAAAATCTCTCTGATTAACTAAGGAGCAGTTGTTTCTGTCGCTCAGGTAACAGCGGCTCAGTAAGCTGCACCTTAGTTCTTTGATGGCAGCAAGAACCCATGTTCCTCATGTAGAGAGAAATGGTCTTTTGCAGGGAAAAGAATTTGTCAGTTTTAATAGTGAAGCTTTGAAATAATTAGAAGTGAATGTAAAAGCAATGTAGGGAGGATTGTATACAGAACTTTGCAAATCCTGGAACAATTTTTTCCGGATACTTTGGTGAAGACCTGGGCTTATTTAAGCAAAGAAAATACACTAGTTTCTTTTGGTAAGAGGAGAAGTTGGCTTCAAGCCACTCTGGGTTTAACAGGATGTTTGAACAGTTATGCATTACTCAGGCTTATTTTTAGATGGTGAAATGTACCAAAATACTAGTGAAACCAAAGAACTATGGTTTACCATTTCTTTTTTTATTACTGAATTTTCCTTTTAGACTTGTACATACATAGTGCATTCTTCACTCTTGCCTTATGGAGAAAGATTACATTTAACATTATTTTGTCTTGATTTATCTTTTTCTGTCCTTTCTCATTTATATGTAGTTATTATGTACTGTGGAGTGGGATGTGCCGAAATAAAGTAATTGTATCCGAAGAGGTTATTGTGCTTGCCCTTTTACAAGTTTTGTTGAACAAGATGATGTGTTCCTTTTGCATGTTTGGAATGACAGGAAACTATCTAAGCCATTTTACAAAAATAGGGCAATTCCTAAAGGCTGTAGTTCAATAAATGAACTACAAGTGCACATTGCCTTATTTTTTTCCAATTTTTATGGAGGGTATAAAAGTGTTTAATTGTCTCTCTGCTGAACAAAGGTTTAGCTTCAGTCTTTGGCTCTGTGTTTGACTGTTTAAGGACATTGCTTTCTGGAGATTTGTCAGGACTGTTTTCTGCTGATAGCTGGGACAAGCAGCATTCATAAGAGAGATGTGTGTGTCAGAAATTGGAAGCTATTTCTTTTACCTAGAATTTTTTTTAATCTCCTGTAAATTTAATACATACAAGCTGTTTTTCATCCTTTTAATGGGACCATGTTGCAGCCATGAGGGGTTGTTACTGTACCACCAGTTGAGACAAAACTGTATAATTGAACAAAATTAAACTTCCAGTAAGCCAGGATTTTGTGTTACTATAAGAAGCAGACATGCAGAGTTTTGTGGACTAAAATATTTTCTTCTTAGCTGGCAGAATCCTAAGTTTTAATTAGGCATTATGTGTGTGTGTATTTGTAACTAACAGACTTGTATGTTACAAGCAACCTAATTGCTAAACTTATGTTGTTTCCTAAAAGGTTAAAATATTTCAAATACTTTATAGTGGGTTTCCTCATACCTCTGAAAGCTGAGTCCTAAAGGTTGATAGTTGTGCTGATTTGCTTTGACTCATGTTTACACTGAAGTTTTTTTAGGGAATATCTCTCTTCAGTACTTTACCTTAAGTGTCATGTGTCCTTCTCATAAACTGTAACTAGGCCTTTGGTAGCCCAGTTAGTTTTGCTTAGTAGTTAATTTTTGAATAATAAACACTTGCTTATTTTAGGAAATCCTTGCTCACTTCTCACTTCTTTGCAAAAAATACAGTGTTCAGTTATGCTGGTTGCTCTGGAGTGTAAAAAAGATACAGTAAATTCTATTTGTTTTTTGCAGAAACTGTTACATTAGTCCTTCTTTACTTGTAGGCATTCACCTTTGGCATCCTGGCAAGATTGGATGCGTAAATATACACTGTCAGGGATTTCGGCAGCAATAGGAAACAACAAAGTCTTGGAGCGACATGGGTTGAGGAGGAAGACTGAATTTGTCATTCTTGCACATTGGCTCATAGTTTTTATGCTGTGAATGTGACAATGAGAAACAACACAAGTTTATAAACTCGTAGCTTTAAGATGATGGTGTGAGGAAAAAAATGAGCACTTTGCCCAAGCTTTTCCTGAAAACTGATGTTGAGCAGTATCAGTTATTGCTGATAACCGTATTAAGAGTTACTATGTGCTGCAGCTCTAGTAGTTACAGAATTAGATTCCTAATTGTTTCTGATGCAGTGGGAGATCACAGAATCAATTAGTCTGGAATAGACCTCAGAGAGCATTGAGTACAGCCTGTGACTGAAGACCACCACGTCAGAATGTCACTCAGTGCCGTGGCCAGTCTTTCCTTAAATACCTCCAAGGATGGTGACTCCTTATCATGGCCAGTCCATGCTAATGTCTTAGCACCCTTTCTGTGAAGAAATTCCTCGTAATGTCCAACCTAAACATTGCCTGGTGGAGCTTAATTTTAAGATCATGTTACATATCATAAGAAACAAGGCATATCTTCTAAAAGATGCCCTAGAAAATTAGTTCAAGAATCTTGTGCTAAAGAACCTTTTCTTTGCAAAGGGAGATACTAAAAAAGTTTGGGTTTCCATTTAGGCTGCATGTGTATTCTTTTGCTTAATCTCATGTCACTTCACTTAGTTCTGTGAGACACTGACACATGGGCATGTTGAACTCCGAAATGAGATTTCATTAATGTGTGTAAACCACAGACTTATTCTGGGGCCCTTTTTTTTTTTGCTTGTTCTGGATTTATAGTTTGGAACGGCGATACTTGATTTCTGCTAAGTTGTTACTGTTTGGTGGAAGGATTTGGTATTTTTTATTAAGATCATAGGATAGGACTTCTTGTAAAGATACATCTCTCAAGTATTAGGTATTTGGAGTTTTTTTTTTTTTTCAATCTGTTGAGCTGCATATTAATGCCTCTTCCTGAGAAATGTAGGACATACCATCTGCATGCTTTGGAAAAACATTCTAATTTTTAGCTATTCCATTGTGTGTCTGTTATTTGATTTGCATGTTGGACTCTGGCCCAGTGGAGCAATATAAGATGTAAATATCCATATGTGTACTACTCAAACATGAAGGAGGTTTAGTTTTCTCTGTTTCTTAATTGCCAGTCATTTCAGAAGAAACATTCAAACTTTGTTTGGCGTGGAAGCAGTAGGGCTAGTTTGGCTGGTAGTAGGTTAGTGTATTAGTTTTTAGGCTTTGTTTTAAATGTTGTTTTTGTTTTTAAATCAGGAGCCAATGAAGTCGAGAGCACCACAGCTACATTTGGAATACAGATTCTACAAGCAGCTAGGATCTGGAGGTAAAAAGCAGTATAATGCATTTTACTGTGATGTAATCCAGGGACAATTTTTGGCTGAAGCCTTCTTGTTTAGAGGTATAAATCTATTTAATAAAGTGTTCTTTACTACTTAAAGCAGAAAAAAGCCTGAGGAGTTAGTGAATTAGTGAATAAATTTCATTATTATAACATTTTTTTTCTCAAGTGTATCTATGAAGTCCTCACTATTTAATAAATCCCACTTATCACAGCATTTGTCTGCATACAGGTATACTTTAAACTAAGACTATTCCCAGTACAACTCCTTGAAAAAATAGTGTAGCTCTCCAAACTGCTCATCTGCTGATAATGTATTTTGAATTAAAGTTGATGTGATATTTAAATAGCTTCAGATTCAGTTTTACTTTTATTGATACAGTATATATCTTGCTTAGTAGTTTTAAACCTCTTAAATACCTCTAGGAGAAGTTTAAATGCAGTTTAATATTTGAATTTCTCATTTCACTCCACTTGGTGCTTTTATACCCAGAAGTACTCTTATGGTAGTGGCCTGAATGATCCAGTTGTCACCTTCTGTTTTTATAGGTGAGCGATACCTAAAACTTCTCACATATTTTTGTGCCTTTCACAACACTGCATATAATCAGTTAAGAAAATGTGAAATTTCTTACCCTGGTAAAGTGAGTACAGATATTCTAAATCAGCTGTAATTTAGGAAAAAGAAATATTTTGATATTTTTTCCTTGAAATTATTCCTAGAGTAGGTCATATAATTAACTATTTTTCCCATTTTTTTACTAATGTAGAAGTTTATTTTATGAGTGGACTACTACAGTGGTTTTCTGCATGTGTGTTCAGGGGCTTTTTAGCAAAGGCAGCCTGGACTTTGTAACAGTGATTTTGATTGTGCTTAAGCTAGAATAACATCCTACTTAGTATGAAACGTTGTCTCTGAAAAGAAATACAAAATGAACATACCCATATCACTTTTTTTTTTTATCTTGAATGTGTGTGTTATGATGAGTTTTAATAATTTTTAATTACTATTTTCACCTTTTTCCTTAAAATTTGGGATCTTATACTCATTGCTGCACTGACTGAATAGTGTTTCTCTGGTGGCTTTCAAAAAGTCATGGTGCTCTTTTAAAGACTACATCTGGTGGAACAAAGTTTCTAATATGGTCTATTGATGCAGACTTTTTTTGCTGCTGTACTACAATGTTTTGCAGCCAGGAATTTTTAGAGATTACTTTTGGTAAAACACAACATTGTCAATTTCTCTTCCTAGATGGACAATAAAGTTGTAGATAGGTAGTCAAAATCTTGAGTCTATATAGTTGCTGTTTGCAGAAAGTCATCAGAGTATGGGTGGTTTCTTGTAAGTAGTTATATATTGTCAGCATACCATACACTAGCATTGTGAAGTAGCTGATGAGTAGAAAGGTGAGATCTTAAGTGTTTAACTAATGGACATGACAGCCCACAAGTTCCATTAGGAGGTACATTACCTGTCTCTGAATGTAGAGGTGTAACTATCTAAAATTGCAAAGGAGCTGTGTAAGGGAGGTAAGAATAAATATGTAATTTCTAATTCGGACCGCAGAAATTAGGCAGTGCTTCTCAGAGGTAGGAACCCTAATAGGAGTATTTACTGGGAAAATGTCTTCGGGAGCATAACTATGTTTGCCTTGTTTAGTGTATAAGACTGGGAACTGTGTTTAATGTAAGAACATAGTCAAGTCACAGTTATCCTGCTTTACTTCAGATATCATTCAATCTTCTTAACCCTATTTGCTGGTTGCAATAAATTTTATCTTTCTCTGATGCCTTGTTGAAGTACTGAAAGGGAGAGTCACCTCTCTGATTCTTTGCATGAAGATGAGGTTACCTTTAGGGTGAAAATGCGAAGATAGAGCTGGTGACTTACTAAGCATCATCAATATTTATGAAAAACTTTGTTACAGTCCTCCTTTGTTTTTACAATGACCTGCTTTTGTTCAAAAGTGAAAGCCTCTCCCAGCACAGAACCTTGAAAGCTCCTTTGTGAGCCTTTCTCAGGCGCTCCACTTGAGGCCTATTTTAATGGGTTTTATGGCAAAGGTTCATTGTGAAGAAAGCAATTTTCTATCTACATAGAAGTTTAAAAAAAGATTCCTGATTCCTTATCTTCTGGGAGCAGTCACTTTTTCTATATTTTTAGGAGTTGGGCCCTCAAGCCAAGTAAGTTATACAGCTTGTGATTTTCAGAAAAAAACATTGCAGTATTATGTAGTTTCTGTTCTGATGTAATCTGTGACAATTGGTTTTAGTTTACTGATTTTTTGGTGACATGCATGTTTACTGTCAAAAATACATTGAAATAATTTTATCTCATGAACAGTTGAAAGCATAGTTTTGTTAAGTTGATCCAGGAAGTGATAAATTCAGGAAGTGAGTATGTAAACCTCCTATGTAAAACAGGAGATAATGGGTGAAAAAAAACTTTTGCCAGGTCTATCCATATAGACAGTATTACTTTATGGGCAGTGGTTGTTTTTTGATCAGAGAGAGATTAAAAGAAGTGGTCTTCAGTATGCAAGTTACAGGAGAGTCTGTCATAGGAGATACAAAAATAGCTGCCATTGCTGGAAGAAATTTGAAGTATTGTAATTGTGAAGATAGAAGGTTTCTGTGAAACCTTCACAGTTATGCACCATACTAGAAGTTGCAATTGTCTGAAGCTTTCCATCTTTTAAGCTTCTAAAAATCTGCATTTGCAGGCTTTCTTACAATGAAGTAATCTTTTCCTTAGTTGTTTTTGTTTATTTGCAGTAGTAATAAAGCTTGTAGTAATTTGGCTGATAGCTTTATAACTGTGTGGACTGTGTAGTTTGCATTTAATTGTACTGAATTACACTTCCCCTTGTTCTCCTCATGTATACATCTATGCTTCTGTGTTAATAGCAAGTGACTACTAAACTATGGTTTCAGAAGCAGTTGGTGAAAAGGGAACTGTACTCCCAGTCTTGTAAGCAGAGCCATTATTTTCTATAAAAACCCCATGATTTTCACAGATAAGAACTACACATTCCACAGTTTATGCTACAAATTGACTTATGCTTGGTGTGAAATAACCCGAAGCTTAAAGGATAAAATTCCTTTAGGCCCTGTGAAATCCCATTTGACTTGCAGGTGGCAGGAGGAGGGAGAGGTATTAACATGTGAATGAATTCCTCTAGAAGAAAATAAGGTTGTTTTCTGACAATATCATCCTGAAAGCAAGTAAAGAAAATTTTATTACAGATTAATCTACCTTCAAAAAACCCTTTTTAAAAGAGCATCTTTGAACTTCCTCTAATCTTGTAGGCATCCTTGATGAAAAGAGTAACATTTTGAAATTATATGTTTTCTTGGTATTTCCTTATCTGCAGCCAATATTTGTCTACTAAGTCTGTTTATTTATTTTTATGTTATTCCTTTTTCTTATCTTTCTAATGACCTTTTAGCTTGGTTTTTTTAAAAAAATATATATTTATTTGTATTATTAATCTCTGTGCTTAGTCATGTTGTTTTGTGTCTTGAATGTCATGAAGATGGAAGACGTTCTTGACTGAAAAAAGATCAGAGGGTTCTTTTGTAGTTCTGCACACTGAGAGAAGAAGGAGAAAATAGGCATGAAATATGATAGATGTGCAGGTTTTGTGCACAAGATTTTGTGTATAAAAAGACTTTGGAATTGAGAGTATTAATTCTTTGTATTTAATAAAAAGTGGTTTTGTCTTGCATGAGTAAGAATTAACATTTCAAAACTGCATTCCTTTGGAGAGGATCTGCTCAAAAAGAAGGCCTAACTGTCACTTTACTTTTAAATATGCTCTTTAAAATGCCTGTGAATGTGCAGTAACATGTAGGTATTTGTCAGAAAAAAAATGTGAAGAATCTTTCTTAAAGAGCAAATACTTTCAGTGCTTTTGGACTTTTTGAAAAGTTTTAGTTTTTTAGGGACGTGGACTTCAAACTTATTAAAACCAACTTTTAAAATGAAAGATGCCGTTTATTTTAGTTTCATCATTATTTAGCTTTCATTTAGGTTTTATATACGAACAGAGATTTTTATGAAAATTGCTTTCTTTTTTCTGTGATAATTTTTTCGTTCAGTAGTTGCGAGGTTTTCCGCAGGGAGTTTGCAAGCATTAGTCAGTATGCAGAAGTTTCTAGTCAATTGAATGAGGAGCGTATGAATGGAATTTAGCATCTCTTTGCTTCTAGTAAATTCTGTTTAATGTGTATTTTCTTAATATGCAAATATGAGATATAAGAAAACCATACTATCATAAGTGCAGTACTCCAAAAAAATGATTGCTGAACCTGAAATTGCACTAAGGCTTTTGGAATTAATAGAAAACAGTTTTGTATTTTTTATTGGTTTTTGAATAAATCTTTTATGCTATCAGCCTTTCTTTGCATGATTAGAAGATAAGGTGTAGGTGTATTTCATGCACTATGCTGTAATTCAACTGACAGATAGGTATTTTCAGTATGGTTCAGTTTTCTTTTGCAGAAAGGAGTCTGTAAATGAAAGAAGTTATGTGTTACATGTTGAAGAGCATAAAAACGATTCGGCTTTCATTGTCTGATTTTTCTAATCTCTCTTAATAAATGGGTCATTATCATAATGACTGGGAGCTTTTGAAAGTGAATAAGAACTCTTTTGTACTTACTTACCTGACAAGTGGAGCAAAAGAATGGCAAGCAGCTTCTGCTGCTTAAAGTGAATTAGTAGAACTCCTGTTTGTAATGCTGCTGTTAAAACAGACTTAGAGCAGTTCTTGTTTATAGTAGTGAGGGGTATCTATTATTAGATTTTATTTTTTCATTTGAGGTAATTTTTGAGATCACATATCTCAAAACTGGTCTCAGATCTGTTCAGCAGTGGATTAACCTACTGGTGAAACTGCTGCATTAATATTTCAGACAATACAGATGCTCAGTATTATAAGTCAGGTTTTATTTTTCTTAACTTTTGTACATCTATTCTTTTA